TGTAATTGATAGCTTTGTAATGCGACCGTCCATGTTGAAAATTCGTGCTGGCTGTTGACTGTCAACGTACAACTGGAGGAGTCGCTTACCCCTGTCTGTGGGGCCAGCAACAGCTAAGAATTGGCTTCCCAGATCTGGTTTCAAAGGGATCGGACAACCAACCAGGGTATTCATATCACCAACAAGGATGACAATGTCAGTGCTTCCTGTTTGTTTGATGAGCCTGGATAAATCACAGTAGAAAATATGTTCAGTGTCAGATGTGCATTCCGTTAGAACCTAACCTGATGCTCAAAGTAGATGCCGGTTTTCATATCGAATAGCACTAACCTGTATAACCGAACAGCGTAAAGACGACTGTTCATCGGAATTGGTTCTAGCAAAGCGTGCTCTGCTAGTCAGACATCTACACATTGACTAACCTGGTATGAGACTGTGTGTCACATGCACACTCTTCAGTGTTGCTCAGGTTATAGAGATTTAAACCACAGTAAGGTCATATCTCTTCGTAACGGACTTGAAAACTCATTTCGCTGATCGCGCGAAATGAGGGAGATGCGGATCTAAGGACTTTTCACCTATTGATAACACTTTTTCAACGAACTGACAACAGTAATTTTCGTACTGACCGCTTGCTGTAGATGCTGTCACAAATCTTGTAGCCACTGATTTCCTCCAGTGAGAGACTTAGTCTGATGTGAAAGCTCCTCTCCTGACTTCTTTTGAATTTGACAGCGGTGGCCCTAATGTCAAGTGCCAAGAACCAAACGCCGGAAAATGGGTTGGCCTAAGGGTACCGCGTGGTGCAAACCACAGCGTTCATGACACAAAACCGGTAAGGAGCGTCCGCGATGCCTAGTGGCGGAGCTACGTAACGGGGAACCACAGGAGAATCACGCATGAGCGCGGCATACTGATATGGAACATCCAAAGTCATATCAGAAAGTCTCGTTGCAACCTCTGCTTTATCGGCCATCATGGATTGCGCCGACTGTGCCATCGATTGGTGCTTTGCGCTCTTTCAAAAGTAGCATGAGATGAATGCTCATTCCATTCATTTACGCCTGTCGGCAAAGGTAGGCAAACGACTGTCCTCAGAGACAGTCAACCACAACCGAAACCACCGATCCTCCGCTACGTTCCACTACTCCTAACAACGCACTTGCAAACTGCCCAACTTGGCGAACAAACCAACGACTACCTACGCTACCTGAGCTACCAACACTCTTCTATAGCAAGCAGTCGAGCACGACAACCGGAGCAGTACATACCATAAAAATGATAGGGCTGGATACACATATTGATACCTGTTCTACCTCACAAAACCGTGCAACGTGGATGCAAACGAATCACATGTTTGAACTGGGAAAGGCGACGCGAATGCCCTATTCATAAACCTATGTGGATGCACTGGGGGCACAAACAGCCCAGTTCAGTTGTTTTAAGCTCATAAAACGTCCAGCGAAGTACAATGGTTCAGACTGCTGCAACTTCGTTCACCGGGAAGATAGGGGGCAAGAACACTAAGGGCTGATGCTATTACCGCATCAAGAAATGTTGAATAAGAGATCGATTGACCCGTATACCACGAAATAAAATTGCGAGCGGCCTGTTTAAATTCAGCGCAATAAGTCCGTCGTTGGGGTCGGGATTGCCTGTAACTGGAGTGGCGAGTACTTCCGTTGATGGCCACTGATAAGGAGCGCGAGCATCTATGTTCAGCGGTGTAGATCTCCGCAATTGGCCGAAGTCAGCTATGTTCGTGTCTATCCCTGGGTTGACTGGTGGGGGAACGTACACCAGGACATTCCTCGTGGGCCCGACTCACTGACCAGTACTCTGTAGGTCTCAAATGAAAGCAAAAAAACGTGCCAAAATCAGCGGGCTCCTGAGCTCGTGATAGCTTAATTTTTAAGGCTTGAACTCACCGAAAAGTCAGTGGTTCAAAACGACATCCAACCGACCGTGCTGCTGACGTCTAGGCATGGGCAACCAGCAGCTCTTGTGCTTCCTTCGGGTGTCATGTCAGCTAAACACCGAAGGGAGGTTACAGCCGAAGATGATGAATATATGTTCATTATCTTCATCAGGTGTATTGGTGAAAGACAAAATGACTCGTTTTACAATGCTGCTCATGTGTCGTTTGGAGGGGATTCAGCGAAATAACCGTTTATACATCATTTCCTAGGGAAGCCAGCTATAAGCACATACTGCTGCCCGACTGCAGTGTTTAGACGATCTCCATTTCGCTTGGTGCCAAGCCGGCTAGCGACCTAATTCTCACTTACGCCCTGTTTGAACAAAGCTTGGCAAACAGGTTTTTTACCGTTGACCCAGCAAACACCCGGCGGGGACATAGGAAGAAAATTTTCAAGCTCAGGGCACACACATCCGTTAGACAAAACTTTTTTTCATTTCGGGTAGTAGCTGCGTGGAATGACCTTCCTCCGACGGTTGTACACGCTCCTTCTCGAACCCAATTTAAAACACTATTAGACATTTATTTATGCGAATCCTCGCGCTATCAAGTATACTGCCCCGTGCTGAGAACATAAAGAGCAGTGCTACGCCCTTTTTTCACTTGTGCCTTTCAGGTGAATGACAGCCACTGACCGACAAGAACAAAACCGACCCGGGAAACTTGGGCAAAAGCCTCGATCCTGTGTATCAATCCGTGAAAATCCGTGAATCCCTAGACAAATCCCAGGCGATGTGCATATGGACAGATCATCGGTCACGGACCAATCAGGATCCTGCAAAAGGGACGCATGCATGCGGCTCCAGTTATTGATGCAGCCGCGCCGCTGGCTATTCGCACAATGAGATTGCAAAAGGGATGCATGCGGCTCCAGTTATTGATGCAGCCGCGCCGCTGGCTATTCGCACAATGAGATTGATTTCTCGAAATCTACGGCATGCATGCGCTCCAGTTATTGATGCAGCCGCGCCGCTGGCTATTCGCACAATGAGATTGATTTCTCGAAATCTACGACATTTTCAGACCTGCCACTTCATAGTGTAGAATGT